CCATCCAGCCTGCTGCTCCAATGCCAAATTAACGCCAGGTAGTCACTGGCATGTCTTAATTGGCACTGTAATGTGAGCCACAGAAGACGGGCCAGTCCTCAGAAAGTCCGAGGTGGTGGTGAGAGACTCAGGTTAGGAATACTTTTTTTTCTTTGGTCTCTAGTACCAGCTCTTTAGGATAAAACTATCAAAGGAGACTCATCTCTGTGGATCTGAGTGAGACTGACGGAGTCTGCCCAGTCTCCTCACTGCCATTGTGCATATAGCATCTCGAGAAGCTACCGAAAGCCTAAGCTTTTTTCAATGCTGTAAAACATAGTAGCTAAGTCAACGCTGCTTTCAAAAGCGAGCCAGCGGTCATCCTGGGCAAATTCAAAGCTGTTGTTGTATAAAACCTTATCAATGGAACTATTCCATCAAGAAGCAAATTGTGTTGTTTAGATGGATAGTATGCAATTTCTCTGCATAGTAAATACAGTACTGTACTGGTCAGAAGTCTTGCTCTAATAAAGGAATATAAAGATTTTTTTTTTTGACTGGGGTCATTCTCATTTGACTTTGGGGTTTCTATTGATGGCAAGCTATTTAGTTTGGGTTTGTTTTTTTTTATTCTAAGTAATGAGAAACTTCTGCAAATAGATAAATCCACATGAAAAGGTTTGAGCGGGTCAACACAGATCCTGGGCGTATTACTCATTATTTGGATTGTAGTAAATAAACAGGATTGATGGTTTCAAAAAAAGAAAAGAAAAAGGTGTAAGTGAATCAGTTACTTAACATTGTGTTTCTAGATAAAAGGGTGTGCTGACAGAGGTGTGGTGGCGTCCACAAATGACAATACTTACCAGTAAGACTGTAGCTGCCTTTGTCAACACCGAGGAGTCCTGTTGGCGCAGTCGCTGAAGCACCCAGCTGCTAGTCAAAGAAAGATCAGTGAGATCTGTCAAAGCCGCCAACTGCTCTGCGGGAGAAAGATGAGGCAGTCTGCTTCCATGAAGACTTAGAGCCTTGGAAATCCAATGGGTGTTCTATAATCCCTGTAGACTCCTTATAGTTCCTATGGGGCCCTTATTAGCTGGAATCCACTCAACAGTCATGGGTTATCCAGGGCTGTCCAAGGAAAAACTTTCTTTGAGCAGGGAATATGGTAATGATAAGAGAAGTGTAGAGGGAACCAATTTGTGTTGGGGGAACCAATTAGTGTAGGGGGAACCAATTAGTCAAGCTTGTGTAGGGGGAGTCAATTAGTCAAACTTTCCCCTGGTGTTGTAGTGATTACATATTGGGCTGCTATCCACAAGGTCAGCAGTTCAAAAGCAGCAGCTGCTCCCCGGGGGCAGATGAGGCTTTTTTTTCTCCTGTTACAGAAACCCACAAGAGCAGTTCAACTGTCCTCTAGGGTCGCTGTGACTGAGTACAGACTCAATGGCAGTGACGCTGGTTTGTTTTCTGTATAATGAGCTAGACACTGTGCAAGCGGCTGGTATTACAAAGATGAGTAAGACGTGGCACCTGCCCTGAAGGGAAACGTTGTTAGGTGCCCACGGAGGGGATTCTGACTCAGAGAGACTCGAAGTGACAGGGTAGGTGTGCCTGCAAGGTTTGCTGGGCTGGGACTGCACAGGACCAGATGCCGGGCCCTTTTCTCCCATGGAGCCACCGGCGGATTCATTAGGCTGCCAGGGCTACTGGAAGGAGAAAGTAACTCTTTGAATCTCAAATTGTGGTCCTAAGGCCAGTAGTGTCAATGTTCCCTGGGAGCTTGTTAGACATGCAGAAGCCCGGTCCCCACCCAGACCTGCTGAATCACAGGCTATATTTTACCAAGATCTCCAGGTGATTTGAAGGCAGGTCAAAATTTGGGAAGCACTGATCTAGTAGAAAAGATGAACCTAAAGCCATCGTGAACTAAACTCCTTTGTTGGTGTATAAAGCAGGGTGCAAGCAGACAGAAGGGAATGGTGGAGTAGTTAGTGGTTGACATGCTTGGTGGCCAACTCGGAGGTCCGAGGTTTGAGCCCAACAGTGCTCCTCGGTAGAAAGATGTGGCAGTCTGCTTCTGTAAAGAGCACAGATTGAAAACCCCATGGGGCAGTTCTACTCCATCCTATATCCTTTTGCATCTCTGTAAATTGGAATTGATGACTGTGAGTTTAGTTCTCTCTCTCTCTCTCTCTCTCTCTGTGTGTGTGTGTTAATGGCCAATTCTGAAGATGAGGATCAGGGAAATCCACACAAAGCAGGAAAAGTTTGCACTGAATTTAAATTAAACAGGACACCAGCTTAAGGTGAGAAACAGGTAAGAATAAGAGCAGCCAGAACGGAAAAAAAGCATGAGCAAGAGTAGTCTGTGCCTGGCGATGGGGAGTGGGCATGTGAAGAAGCAGAGTTGGAGAAATGGAGGAAACGTTTTTGAAGAATCCCGAAGTCCCACCCATGGGGAGATTTGCTGCAAGAACCCCAGTGAATGCACCCCCAAACTCTAGTCATATAGGGCAGCAACACAGTGTGCTGTGCTCAGAACTGACCCCAGGGGAAGCCCTTCATCACCCTTGTCACCAGGCCACTGCACTCAGATCTGATCGGTGTGTGGGGAGTATAGTCCTTCCTGGCTCCTCACCCTGAGTGACCCCTCAGCCAGCAAAGGAAGCCGAGTCTCAGATCTCGTGCCAGGCCGCCTGGTACCTGGCAGCAGATGCAGAGGGACCTCACTGGGAAGTGGTTGCATGTGTTCATAAGGATTCCCAGCAGGTCAAACCGTCTTTGGGAAGAGGACTCCCACCCCATTCACGTTGTAAGAAAAGCTAACTCAGGAGAAATTAACAAAAAGTCATGGGAACATCCAGGGCTTCAAATCAATTCCTTCTGGGTCGGCCTGCTGGTAGAAATTTTCATTTCCCTCCTAGATGATTTTAACTGCTGTCTCTAAATGGTATACCTGTCAAAAGTTAGCATAGATAAAGCTGTAACAGAAAGAAAGCGGAAGGAGGGAGGGAGGGAGGGAGGGAGGGAAGAAGCTGTGAAGGATGCTCATGTACTTACTACCCAAAGCCTCGTGGTATTTGATTCTTCAGTTTAGAGGGTTAGAGTCACCGTTTTGGGGACATACTGGTTAATCAACCAAATAACCTGTTTAGTGCTTCTGTTCTACCATGTAGTTCATAGCATAGTGCTTGCAGTCTTGAAACTTACAGCAGGCCGCCCAGGGCACTATTGGCCCTCATTGACATGGATCAGCAGAAAAAGCAGCGTTAGGAGTTTCACTGCCTCCTATGCCACGGACACAGAAGAGTTAGGTGATGTCCAGTTACCATTACTGAAACATTTAATTGAAGATTGTATAGAAGAATTCTGATTAAACATGAAAAAAAGACAGATTGGATTTTCAAAGTCTCACAAACTCCTGAAGGTCAGGTGAATGCCTTGTTTTGGATTGAAGTTTGCCCTCCA